CAAATTATTGGAAAATTGCTTAACGAAATACCTAGTTATCATCGAGGTATTCGAAAAGGCTTTATCAATAAATAACTAGGGGTCTGTTTAGTAACGTTTCTATTTCTTTGTTTTTCTGTTCTTTTGTTCCCCGGAACAGAAAAAGAACAGAAATCCGTTGAGTAAAAAAAATCTATTTTTTTGTTTATGGAACAAAAAAGTGTTCCAGAAATAGATTTGGAACAGAAACAAGAAGCAAAAAAAATCTGCTTCTTATTTCTGGAACAAGAAAAAAGAAACGATTTTTTTTCTAGAATTCTCCAAAAATAAGAAACAATCCATCGGCCGCAACCCGCCCACCGCCGCCTCTCGCCGTCCTTCGCCGCCACCTACCGCCCGCCTTCCGCCGCCACCGCCCGCCGGCCAACGCTCGCCGGCCGCCTCCCGCCCGCTGGCCGCCTCTTGTCGTCGACCACTGTTCTCCGCCGCTCGATGCTTGTTGCCACCCGCCACCGGCCGCCGTCCTCCACCACCGGCCGCCGTGCCCATCGCTCGACGCCGGCCGCCACCCCGGCCGGCCGCTCCCCGCCAACCACCCGACGCCGGCGATCACCCACCACCGGCCGCCGCCCCGCCGCCGCGGCCACCCACCACCGGCCGCCATCCTTCGCCGCCGGCCATTGTGCTCCACCACTCGACGCCGGCCACCTCCCGCCTCTGGCCACCCGACGCCGGCGGTCACCCACCATCGGCCGCCATCCTTCGCCATCGGCCGCCGTGCTCCATCGACCGACAATGGCCACCCTCCGCCGCCAGCCACCTCCCGCCGCCGCCCCCCACTGCCGTCCCCGCCGCTCGACGCCACCGTGCTCCGCCGCTGACCGCCGTGCTCCACTGCCTCCCACCGCCGGCCGCCATCCTCTACCGCCGCCAACCACCGTCCTCCGGCCCCCACCGCCACCCGCCGTCCTCCGCCGGTAGCCCAGAAGGGAGGAACTCGTCCATGGAATAGAAATGGATCATTCGCGCCCTAAACGCGTTTCTATTCTTTTTCTATTCCAGGAATAGAAATTTTGTGCAGTTACTAAACGCTATTTTTTGCTCAGAAACTGTTCCAAGAAATAGAAATAGAAAAACTATTTCTGATCAAAAATTATTTCTGAGAACAGAAACGTTGCTATGCAGACTCTAGATATCATATGAGGTATTTAAGGACTGAATGAACAAAGGGAACTAACCCAAATGCTCGAGGATTCCTTGACGAAGCACATGGATATCGTCTGAGATACTTTGAAAAGGCTTGATCGATAAGGCTGCGCATGGCAACCATTCGGTGCCCGGGAACAGATTCTGGTCAGAAATGATTCTTTTTTATTCTGTGCTCGGGAACTGATTCTGAGCATTTGAAGGCGTTTGGTAACGGCCCAAAATTTCTATTCCTGAAATAGTAAAAGAACATAAATGCGTTTGGTAACGGCATAAAATTTCTTTTTATTAATAATATTTTAATAACATTTTAAATATTTTAATATTTCTTTCTTTTCTTTTTTTCTTCTTCTCCTTGGCCATGGCCGGTAAAATATTTTTTAATTAATAATACTTTTATTAAAAATAAATTTTTTATTTTTTTTTGCCATGGCCGGTAAAAAATTTTCTTATAAGAAAATTTTTTATTAATAATTTTTTTTAAAAATATTTTACTAAAAAATAGTTTTATTGAAAATATATTTTTCTTTTTTTTTGCCATGGCCTGGTCGCTGGCCATGGCCGGTAAAATATTTTTTTATTTTTTATAAATATTTTTTTATTAATAATAATATATATTTTTATTGAAAATATTTTTTATTTTTTTTGCCATGGTCTGGTCGCTGGCCATAGCCGGTAAAATATTTTTTTATAAATTTTTTTTATTAATAATATTTTAATAAATAATTTTTTTATTGAAAATATATTTTTTTTATTTTTTTCGTCATGGCCTGGTCGTTGGCCATGGCCGGTAAAATTTTTTTTATTAATAATATTTTTTTTATTTTTTTTCGCCATGGCCTGGTCGCTGGCCATGGTCGGTAAATTTTTTTTTTATTAATAATATTTTTTTTATTTTTTTCTCCATGGCCTGGTCGCTGGCCATGACCGGTAAATTTTTTTTATTAATAATATTTTTTATTAAAATATTTTAATCTCGCTAGATACGGCGAGGGTGGCCCTCGCGCCGGACATTATTTTCTATTATAAAAAACAAGAAAAAGAAGAAGAAAAAAAAAACTGATTCTCATTTTTGTTCCCAGAATAAAGAAGCTACTTTTTTTTTATTCTTGATTATGCTCCAAAACTGATTCTGGGCACAAATTTGCAAAATTTGTGCCCAGAATCAAAAAATTAAACAAACGGATTTCTATTCCCAAACTGATTCTGGGAAGAAAAGAACAGAATCAAACACTATTTGGCAAGTTGTCATGCGCAGCCTAAATGTCTGAATATCGTCACAGGCATCTCACGACTGCATCGAGACACTTAGCTATCATATGAGATGTCACGAATAAACTGTAAAATACCCGGCTTTTGCCTTAGGCAATTGGTGAGATGTTCGGATTTCGTCTTGGATACTCGGACCGAAACCGAGGGAGATACTCAGATCTTACCATCGAGTACTCGGATTGAAAATTTTGAAGCTTACCTGAGGTTACTTACCTGAGAGTTTGATAGATTCGCCCGGAAACTCTTTCTGTTCATAGGGCTTGAGAGATTGCCTATTTAGTATCCAAACATTGCCTCTAATGCGCGACAGTGCATGTCGACTGTTTAGTATGTGGACTTTTCTTTGGGCGTACAACAGGGCGATAAAACTTCTCAAGGGGAAGACCTAGACTTAAACTCAGATAATTTCGGGGTTAGAAAACTCTAGGGTCGACACTTCGAATGGGTTGAGTGTCAATGTAGCAACAAAGAATACCTGGATAGTCACAAGTGCTCAAAGGCGAAAGAATACTTGGACAATTATAAGTATGCGAAAGTAGGGGTAGAGATGCACTTACTTGGCGATATCTCTTATCCTCGAGGGTATGTCTCCTATCAAACTCGGTTATACGCAACATTTAATATGTATTCATAGACAATCATGAACATATATATTTCCATATACCGTAAATTCATCAACTCAAATGGGGTTTATGATATTGTCAAGTCTGCATGTCAAAACTTCCACTAGGGAAAATCATAACATGGCAACCCATACTCATAACGTGGATATCCTGAACACGCTGAATGAGAGACCTTCAATTTGAAAGAGGTTTCCACTCACTCTCATTGAAAAAGCTATTTTATGAAAATCACTCCATTTCACTGTCATCATGTTGACAAGGGTTTGGGTATTCTCGCAAACGGTACAACAGTACCAATCTGAGAGGTTTTTATTAGGACCGTAATGTAGGTGGTCAACGGCTTAACAAAGAGGTCTTGTCGAGTCAAGGCTATGAAAGAAATACTCTGCAATCATCTTCAGGTTTACATGTCAACAACCCTACAAAATGAGAAAGAAATAGTCTTGCTTGCACTTCTTCAAGCGATGCTTGTAAACATTTGAAACTCTACGTTAATTCAAGTGCCCTAATTTAAAGAGACTTTGTAAGGAACGTAACATAGGCTCGGTTCAAGGGTTACGAAACAAAAGGTAGATGGATTGTTATCTTGATAAAAGCAAAATAGCGATCGTGTGAATCCATGAATAATAATATTCGAATTACATTGGAAATACTAACTTCATATATTGTAATTAACTTCATTGTTGCAATTACAAATTTGTGTGTCTTTTGAGCATCTGGTGGAGGGATTTGGGAGAGCAGCGATATTAATTAAGCGGCAATACAAAGGGCGAATCAAGACCATGCCTTGGCTGCAAACTTGAGCAATGGTCGAGATTATTGAGTATGTCTCAAGTTTTGGCCAAGATTCGAGCAAGGATAGAAGCCCGAATGAGGATTGCACACCAGAGCCTCTTGAGAGTGTTTTTAGGGTTCTCTCCTAGTTTTGATGAGAAAACATCACGAGAATTTGCGTGGGATGTCGAATGAGGATTAATTAGGTGTAATTAGGGTTCATGATTGAGAGAGACACAAATTGAAACTCGTAATCTCCTTATTTAGATTCATTGCCGCTGCTCTCTCCATGGAGTGTGTATCGACACTCAAACCGATCCACGCTGATCCTTCTATGTTTCTTTCTTATATTTTTCTATTTATTTATCTATTAACTCGCGCCTGTGGTGGATTGCCCGACTATATTGCGCAACATTATTTGAAGGGTGAATGTTCCTTAGATATGCTTTATCATTTATATTTATGAGTATGAATCAAGAAAAAAGCTTTAAGAAAAATAATTAGTTAATTACAAAAAAAAATTCATTTACTCAAGAGGTGGCTGAAGAAAAAAATCGATACCATCAATTGGCCAGGTTAAATATGTTGGTACTTAATGAAGTTTTCAAAACCATATAGCCATCGAGGAAAATATTGACGTACCACCCCACTACAAACTGATTAGACGAGAGAAACGAGATAATTCCATAATCATATTTAAAAATCAAATTTTGACGTTTTTCAGATCATTTTGTAAACTTCTTTTTCACATGCGAAGCTTAGTTTCTACGGTAATTAAAGTAGAATTTTTTTAATGGAGTTCAAAAAATCATGTGTGTCTCTGTTGTGCTTCCTTATTTTAGAGAAAATGATACTTTCACACGACATTTCTTGAAATAAAAACTCCTGGTTTTTTTCTTTTTCTCACCGTGCCGCAAGAGGGGTCAACACTTTGCCGGCCCGTGGAAAGTGAATTACCGAATTGCCCCTGATCTGTAGAAAAAGAGAAAAAAATACTCCAAAAAAGGCAGGATGAATGGGAGGCCGCCACGTGTCCAGATGCGGGAGGAAGCTGACTGGCAGACACGGCGTCGACGAACGTGGCCGCAATGATGTCCGGATGCATTCCTCCTCCATGGCCATAACATCTCGAGCTCGTTCCCTCCTCTCTCTCTCTCTGTGATCTGTGATCGTCGTTGGTCGCTCCACGCGCAGTGCCGCCGTTCCCGAATCGTGAGCGCAGCGAAGGAAGCGAGGAAGGAAGAGAGAGGGAGGGAGAGAAATGAGCCAGAGGAAGAGTGAGAAGCAAGAAACTCCTCCTCCATATCACGTTCTTCACAAGCTGCCTCCCGGTGACAGCCCTTACGTTCGAGCCAAGCACGTCCAGGTTCGTTGTCGTTGCTGTGTTGGTGGGTTGTGGCGTTTTCGGTTTGGGTGATCCCTCATGGGGTGATCTTGGTTAGGACGTAAGAACTGGGATTGGGGTGCTTGAAGTTGATGATGCATGGACGGGAGTGCGCGCGTGATGACGTGTTTTGCATTCGTTCGCGGCTTCGTTTTGTTGCGCTTTATTACTGGGTGCTGCTGTATTTGTTTGAGCAAAGCAAGATGGTCACTTGGGTTGGGGCTGAAACTGCGAAATGTTTTATGATGGGTGGGATTAGGTTTGCTTGGATTCGCGACTTCGGGGGCAATCATTTCGTGTTCCGTTGCCCGCCCAAATACTTACGACGGCTGAATTTCATGAAAGTTATGCATATCCAGATAGAATTGAATCTCACATGGCAGAATATAGTCTTTTAGTTAGTGTGCTTGTTGATCTAATATTGAGTTTCTTGATCGTTTCCTTATGTGGCTCATCTTGATTTACATATGTTATACAGCGATAACGTGTTTCTTGTGCCCTAGTCAAGTCCGAAATGTTATTTCTGTCGATTAATTCACCGTAATATGTGCCCCGTTGCTTATTGATTTCGGTGTGAAATGCAGTTGGTGGAGAAAAATCCGGACGCGGCAATCGGTCTGTTTTGGAAGGCGATAAATGCAAGGGATAGAGTAGATAGTGCCCTCAAAGACATGGCTGTTATCATGAAACAGCAAGACAGAGCAGAAGAAGCGATTGAAGCAGTTAGATCTTTTAGGCATCTTTGCTCCAAACAAGCTCAAGAGTCCCTGGACAATGTACTCATCGACTTGTACAAGGTAACTTGATTCTTACATAACTGCAGATTTGCATTATAGCGATCATCTGCTTGTACTTTAGGGAAAGGTTGTGTCTCGAGTCTATGTTGATGAGGCATGCAAGATTTTAATGGAAGAGAACTATTATATTCAATTTATTCTGGTTTAGTTTGCAAAAATACGAAATGACAGTTTCGATAGCTTTGTAAGCAGAGCACTTCCTTCAAAATGGTATTCTATGACTTAATTCGTTCTAGCTGATAGTGTAAGTTGCTTGTGATCTTTAAATGGCCAATCTTTTGTCTAACTTACCCAGAAAATTCTGAGACTGTCAGTGCGAAGCCCTGGACTAGAGTACTTGCTTTACCTGACAACGTTGAATGATGTGCAGACAATATCTTTGTTTTCTCCTAGAGAAAAATGAAGTTTCTTCAGCTTGAATTTTTGGCTAAGTCTATCAAATGGATCTCCTTCTACTTCTGGTGGTTTTTAGAAAGCTTGTTAAAGAATTGGCTTTTCGGGGGAATGTCACTTGCCTACCGATTTCTACTTGTTAAATTTGGCTTGTGTTTTTATGAACTTGGCAGAAATGCGGTAGACTGGATGAACAGATTGCACTATTGAAGCAGAAACTGTGGATGATATGCCAAGGAGAGGTTTTCAACAAGAAGCCCACAAAGACAGCACGTTCACATGGAAAGAAGTTTCAGGTCACTGTCAAGCAAGAGACTTCGAGAATACTGGTAATTTGATCACAAACCTACAATTAATCGAAGTGATCATTGCTATGTGACATGTCCATTGAATTCTGATGAGGTTGCCTTCATGCCATTCGAGCTGGTTTCTTTGTTGAAAGCTTCATAGTCTGGCAGTCATTCATATGTTTCCGTCTAATGTCCTTTGCTGCTCGTGAGCTTCTCTTGAACTGATTCCATACTAGGAAACTCAGTAGATTCTTTCGCGTAGGTTTTGACATGAGATGAATTGATTTATGGGTTTAGGTGACATCATGATGAAAAATTCTATCATGTCCATGTTCCAATGTGCCATAGTGACCTTAGCTTCTTTACTATTTGGTGATGCAGGGCAACCTAGGATGGGCATACATGCAACAGGGCAACTTTGTGGCGACCGAAGTGGTTTACCGCAAGGCTCAGATAATCGATCCCGATGCCAACAAGGCATGCAACTTGTCTTTGTGCCTGATCAAGCTAGGAAGGAACATGGAGGCACGCTCCATTCTTTTAGATGTATTGCAAGGTGAACTGCCCGGATCTGATGACCCAAAGGCAAGAACCCGGGCTGAGGAGCTATTGCAAGGATTAGAGCCATTGGAAGCTTCCTCATTACAGCCGACAGGTTCAGCGCAGAGGGTAGAAGATGCTTTCATCGAAGGACTTGATCTCTTGATGAACCAGTGGGTGCCGCTGAGATCGAAGAGACTTCCCATTTTTGAAGAGATTTCTCCATTTAGGGATCAGTTGGCTTGTTGAGTTTTTTTTTTTTTAATCAATGGCTTGTTGAGTTTTAGATCTTGTAAAATATCTGCACGCATGCGTATACTGTCATATGTTGAAAAGAAATAGGGGAATAAAATTAAGAAAGTTTTGATCTTATATCTGCTTCCTGTCTTCTTACTCATCCATTAGGTTATCTTTCTTTTCCATCTTCGTTGATTCCCAGAAAGAGTGAAGGATCATGAAGGTGCGCAGGTCGCTTTTGGGATTCTTTTCTGTTCAAAATGGGTCATAAGAAAATAATATCGTATCGACTTAGTGTAAGGTTGGTGAAGGGGACAGAACCAGTCGCAATGCAAAAACTGCATGAGAATTCATATGTTTTTCAATAGGACCCACCATGCATCGTTCATGGACGAAATTATAGTTGCAAAAATTCGACTGTCCATGAAAACAAAATGCCATAAAAGACAACAAAATGCCATAAAAGACGGGCAGAGAAAGTATAGTTGGCTAGGCTGCGCATGGCAATTATTCTGTGCCCAGAATCAGATTCTAGTCAGAAATGATTCTTTTTTATTCTGTACCCAGAAACTGATTCTGAGCATTCAAAGGCGTTTGGTAACGGCCCAAAATTTCTATTTCTGAAATAGTAAAAGAATAGAAATGTGTTTGGTAACGGCATAAAATTTCTTTTTATTAATAATATTTTAATATTTTAATATTTCTTTCTTTTCTTTTTTTCTTCTCCTCCTTCTTGGTCATGGCCAGTAAAATATTTTTTAATTAATAATATTTTATTAAAAATAAATTTTTATTTTTTTTGGCCATGGCCGGTAAATTTTTTTATTAATAATATTTTTTTCTTTTTTTTTGCCATGGCCGGAAAAATATTTATTTTTATTGAAATACAAAATATTTTTATTGAAAATAATTTTTTTATTTTTTTTTGGCCATGACCTGGTCGCCGGCCATAGCCGGTAAAATATTTTTTTATTAAAATTTTTTAATAAAAAAATATTTTTATTGAAAATACTTTTTTCCTTTTTTTTTGCCATGGCCTGGTCGCCGGCCATGGCCGATAAAATTTTTTTATTAATAATATATTTTTTTTTCATGGCCTAGTCGCTGGCCATGGCTGGTAAAATAATTTTTTTTTGTTCATGGTCGATAAAATATTTTTTTTATTAATAACATTTTTTATTAATAACATTTTTTTATTAAAAAATTTTAATCTCGCCAGATACGGCGAGGGTGGCCCTCGCGCCGGACATTAGAAGCTACATTAAAAACCAAGAAAAAGAAGAAAAAAAATTAATTCTCATTTTTGTTCCCAGAATCAAGAAGCTACTTTTTTTTTATTCTTGATTCTACTCCAAAACTGATTATGAGATCAATTTTTGGCAAAATTGTGCCCGGGCACAAAAATTTTAACAAACGGATTTCTGTTCCCAAACTGATTCTGGGAACAAAAGAACAGAATCAAACACTATTTGGCAAGTTGCCAAACAGACCCTAGGCCTAGTGATATTTCTCGTCCTCTGCCGACATTTGGCCGGGCTGTCGCTGTAGTCATAGCATAATCATCTCGACCCTTGAAAGCCGGCTAATCATTCCGTTTCCGTACAAGATCCTTAACTTACAAAGAGCTAGCCTAGGTAGTACATTGCATTCCAATGAACTTTCGAGTAGGGCACATAGATCAAAGGTTTTAAGGTGACTAAAGGCGAGTTTGACAACCAGCCAAATAGTAACTATTTCTATTCTTTTATTCTCAAAATTAATTTTGGAACAGAAATCCGTTTGGTAAATTTTTTGTTCCCGGGTACAAATTTGCAAAAATTTATTTCCAAAATCAGTTTTGAAACAAAATCAAGAAGCAAAAAAAAGTTATTTTTTGATTCTGGGAACAAGAATTAGAAATGAAAAAGAAAATTTTCTTCTTCTTTCTGGCATGTGGCCGGCGAGGGTGTCACGGCCCTCACCGGATTTGGCGTGGGCAACCCTCGCCGCTGCCCTCGCCGGTCCTGGCCTGTGGCCAGTCGTCGGCGCCGGCGACCTGGCCATGGCCAAGGAAGGGAAAGAAGAAAAATAAAAAGGAAAATAAAAGAAAAATAAAAAAGAAGGAAATATTAAAAAATTCAAAATATTATTAAAATATTATTAATAAAAAGAAATTTTATGTGGTAACGCATTTCTGTTCTTTTTTTATTTCAAGAATAGAAATTTTGGACAGTTACTAAACACCTTCAAATACTTAGAAATTGTTTCCGGACACGGAATAAAAAAGAATCATTTCCGAACAGAAATTATTTTTGAGAACATAATGATTGCCGAATGCACCCTAAAACCTAGATCGATGTAACAAGTTATTGTGCTTTACACCTCTGCAACCAAAATAACAGTTCTATTTTCAAGCATAAGCAAACTATTGTAAACATAACTACAACGGCAATTGAAACCGCAAGTATTACGGCGAGAGAAGGAAAATGCAAGCCTGCCATGCGAAATGTTGTCCTCCATATTGGAGGCCACGTGACGCTCAGAGAACTTCAAAGACTCCAGTTGACGCCATGCAACCAAATTGATTCAAACATATGAAACCAATTCCCAATTATTAGGGAAAGACTCTCGCTATCTAAGATTCTAAGTGCGGGAGCCCTTAATCCCACAAAAGCAATATAATCCACTGTCTTTCAGCCTTCAAAAAAGCTACCCAAGATAACAAAAGAAGAAATTTGAAAGTTTGTTTAAGTTAATGACGCTCATGGTTAGAGTTTTTACAGATCGATGGACCAGTGCAGGTACAAGTTCACTTCTGTTGAGGCCAAAAAAACAAAAGTTTGCTAAATTGTCCAAAAACTTTTCGCAGCAGTCATGGTTGCCAAAATTTACATATAATCTACACTTTGCCAACCTCAGAGCAAAGATTCTCAATTTATGTACCAGCAACTCAATCTTCTCTCCACAATTAAGAATCTGCATCAGAGCAAGCTTCCTTAGCTAAATTATTTCTCGACAAAATCAAGATATAAATAATTGGTGTTTGTTGATTGCAAGGATAAGTTATAAATGATATCGACAAATCAGCTAAAAAGAGCTTTTATCGTAATACTTGCCTGAAAAAACTGCCAAAACGAGCTTAACAATGATACCTTTTGCACTGGCACCAGTAAAACAGACCAGCAGCCCCAATTCACTTGATGCTATCTATCATGGGATCTTTGACTTGGGAGACCTCAGCATTTACATTTTGCAAGCTTCTGAACTCCAGGATGTTCCACACGGCAATTGGACTTTGCCTCCCGGCAACATATAACTACAAAAAAAATGAAAATGGAAAGGATGGGAAAACAATAGCAACTGACCCAAGTTTTGTGTTTACTTTCTGCATGCAGGGGAGGATGTAGGTGATTTCTCATTATACTGACCCTCTGATGCCAACGCTGCCTATCTCAATAGATGAATTCGCGTCAAATTTCATGTAAGCCACTCCAGCAAGATACTCTAACCACACATGACGGGAAACAATAACAGAAACCAAACTACATGTTTAGATCATACTACTTACAGTGGCAAAGCCAAGATTCTCCACTTTAAAGAAACATGACGCTTTTTTTGTTTCTATAAACATGTTAGAAGTTTACAATTTTTTTTCCTCATATATGCAGACAATATGCGGACACTTTTGGGAGACCATTTCATAGATTTGAAGGATTAATTCGTGGTGACAGTAATGTGAAAAGGGTTCTATGCAAAAGACTCAAAATCAAATGAACAGGCGACGGAAAGATCAATGTGAACAATTGTAACGATGCAGAAAAATTACATTTAGAGCTACTGAACCATGATAATGACATAGAATGGGTGCGGCACACTACAGTATATTAAAGTATGATGCCTCAGTCCATCAAGAAAAAGATTGGAACAGAAACATAGGACTCCTCTACAGTGTTTTTTTTTATCATAAGTATATTTTTACTTCTGGACAACCTTGACCAAACAACAGACATAAAAATCAGGTAAAAGGCTTAACTCACATTAACTATTAACCTGAAGAAACAACAAGACAATGAAAAGAATAAGAAGACAGAAAATAAAGGCTCATGAAATTCGAAGTTTATTCCCAGCACAGTACAGCAGAGCCTAAATCAAGAAGACCTTATCCAATGGATAAGTAACAAATTATGCAAAAAAGAAAGCCATGATAAAAAACAGAGAAAAACCAACATAATTAAAATTAAACTGTAAAAACCCGAGCTACTCCTAACAGAACACCTTATGGTTCTCACCGTAGATCAAACAGTGTTTAGTTTCTTGCATAGATCTGGAGGCATATCAGGTGCAGGGGCAAGGGTGATGCTTGTGTACACCTTCGAGCGGGGTTTTTATGATGAAACATATAGTGAATGAAAGCATCTCGGCAGACAGTATAAAGTTGCTTTGGCTCTTGGACACAAAACCATCTTTCTAGGCCAATTCCCTAATCACAAACAACTGGATGAACGGACAGTGAAAAGGCATACAAGAAAAAGAACAAAAGTAGAAATTCTGCCCCAAAAAACTAATGAGGGAGTAAGTCTCACCAGATTGAAGTGATTTTGCAACAATTGACACCAAAAAGGCACACAGAGAACAAGTAGAAAAAAAAATACCTCTTTTGTTGCAGCACTCAGCTAATTTGCTTTGTGGAACAGAAACAAAGAAAGGTCAAAATATTTTTTAGGATGGGGTGCGAAAATGGACATCTTTTCCCTTACAAGCTGCTGGTGAGCCTCCTGCCATCATGTAAGCAACTACCATTAAGTCCATAAACCATCTAAGAGCAATAACTGATATTATAAAAGACTAACTGCTCAAAAAAATGAAGAAATAAAATGGAAAGGAGCAAGTAAAACTAAAGAGCAGCCAAAAAGTGTACGGAAGCTGGTGAAAAGGGATGGATTCTTTGTTTTTTTTTTTTTGAGGGGGGGGTGGCGGCAATAGCAAATGAGTCACATACTTCTGGCAGCACATTTTCTTTTTTCCATCACTTTATGCAAATGTAACTGGTTCACTCTGTAATGGCACTTTTAAAGAATTCCAACTAGAAGCAATATTTGACTATCCTGCGAAATGATTCTAATAAGTGTTTCTTGAATGGATTATACTGGCTTAACAGAATAGCTGCTATATTCAAGGAGAACTCTGTCCAGCTTAGCATGCTGCAGTGGGTGTTCTAGGTTAAATGCTGCAATAAGACATGTGGCCTAAGAAGAGAGAAGCTTACAATCGAAATTTAAGCATAGCCAGTTTGTGTTGGATTCAGCAATTACCCGGTGACATTCTTCATCACTGGATAAACATTTCAGAAAGCTATTATGCAAGGTCACAGAGTATCCACTGGTGACTCTTATGAGTTGGTCATTAAGCAAAACCAAGATTCACAAACGAGTTGACATTTGCTGTTATCTGCTTCAATGTAGAATAAATCACATTACATTGTGGGTGTATCCTATCTTCCACAGAGAATACATGAACTTTGCTATTGAGTTCAATCCAGCTTCGCCCAGGATCCTTTTTCACTTCCAAACCTCTTAAGTACTTCCTCACCTTCCTCTTCTCCTTCCATCTTCCCGATAATGCATAAATGTTGGAAAGAATAACAAAAGCAGATACTGTTTTAGGATCTACACTAAACATCTTCTCAGCTGCCCTCTCACCCATTTCCACATCTCCGGAGAACCAACATGAACTAAGCAGAGCTCCCCAAATGACCCCATCAGCTTCAATTGGCATCTCTTTTATAAACTCTTCAGCTTCCTTCAGATAACCTGATCGACCAAGAAGATCCACAACACATGCATAATGCTCCAGGTTGGGTTTTAATCCATAATCTTTCATCATGTGGAAAAAATTCATTCCCTTGTCAACCAGACCAGAATGGCCACAAGCAGCTAAAATTCCAACAAAAGTAGCTGCATTAGGGTTCACCCCTTGCCGCAACATCTGCTCAAAGAGAAGGATTGCCTCAGAGCCAAGCCTATGATGTGCATATCCATTGATAAGAGCAGTCCAAGCAGCAACATTGGGTGAGGATATGCTGGCGAATGATACTCGAGCATCATCAATGCACCCACATCTGGAATACATGTCAATAAGTGATGTTCCTACATATATGTTCGACTCAAATGATGCTTTAAGCAACTGTGCTTGAAGTTGTCGACCTAGTTGAAGAGATCCAAGAGATGAACAAGCATGCAGCAAAGCAGAGAAAGTTGATCTGGTTCTATGTATGGCTAATCTCCTCATGGTCTCGTATAATTTGAATGCTTCTTCATGCATACTGTTCTGAATATAACCAGATATCATTGAGTTCCATGTGACCGAGTTTCTCTCCCCCTTTACTTCTTCGAAAAGCTCCAATGCCTTCTCAATTTCACCTGTCCTGCAATACACTGAAATCATGGTGTTTATAGATATTAATGTCTTCATAGGCATCTTCTCAAATAAGCTTTTTGAATCCGCAACTCGATCATTCATAGCATACCCTTTAATCATTAAGTTACATGAAATTGGGTTTATAGTTAACCCGCTGAATATCAGCTCAGCATCTTCAATTCTACCCGCCAATATCAGTCCCCCAATTAGAGAGTTCGAAGCGCTTAAACTTGGTTGCGCCATCTTTTCATAAACCTTCCTTGCTTCATCGATCGCTTCACTTTCACAGTAAAATTCAATAATTGCACTGCCAACAGATTGATCACACTCATAACCTGATTTTACCACCAGACCATGTACAACTCTACCTACACTCTGAGCTCTCAGTCTACCACAAGTCCTCAAAACACAATCGAAAGTAAACTCATTAGGTGCCGCCTCATTAGTCTCCCTCAGCCACCGAAACAACTCAAGAGCCTTCTCACAGCCATCGACCCGCTTTGCAAATCCAGAAATCAACGTTGTCCATGCAACAATGCCTCGGTCAGGCATCTCCATGAACAGAGCCAAGGCATCGTCCATATGATCACAGTGCACATAGCCCGCAAGCAGTACACTCCATAACAAGTCATTACTACCTCGAAACTCCTTGAAAACCCGCTTCGCCTTTTCGATCTCAAAGCAATTAGCATAGAAATACATCAATGCACTCCCTACATACTCGAAATCCTCAAAACCCGATTTCAAAACAAGGCAATGGACTTGCCTCCCATCATATGACGAGCGAGAATTCGCACAGGCGCTCAGTACCGTAGAAAGAGTGGTCTCATTGACCTTCACACCGCCGTGATGCATGCTCGAGACAAGACCAAGAGCTTCCCCATACCTTCCCCACTGGGAATAACCGGCGATAATGGCGTTCCACGAGACGACGGTTCTCTCAGACATTTCGTCGAACAGGCGCCGCGCGACGTCCAGCTGGCCACCCCTCGCGTGCTGCGTGATCAAGATGTTGGCAGCGACGATGTCCGGGCGGCTCGTCGTTGTCCGACGGAGCGTCGAGAATCGCAACTTCGAGCTCTTCCATCCGACGACAAGAGGCCACGTTTGTCCGAGAGACGTCGTCCTCCGCATCAAGCCTATGTCACAACTTTTTCAGAGCTAAACTATCTCCAATCCCTGTGACCGGTTGAACGAGATACGAGGACTTCGGACATGGTCATGCCCCAGCAACAGCAAGCCCCGGGCTTGGAAAGATTTTACTGAGCTGCGAAGTGAACCGCCATTGCTGCAAAAGCTTCATTTTTTCCGACAATCTGCCATTTGCGTCCATGTACAATGATCGAAGTGGCGACGGGCGACGCTCCAGCGGCCTCCTAGGTATGCTTGTCGGAACGCCGACCTTTGGATTTTTGAACTGTATTTCTATGTATTTCGGTTTTTTTTTTTCAAACTCTTCAAACCGAAAACAAAAGTAATTTTTAGTCAAATTAAGAGATATGTTGATCGCGAAAGTGCAATTGAGCCATAAAACTTTAAATAAGGACAATCAACTCTTACATTTGAGAATTCGCTAAGGACCGATGACCGTCGCTAGGCCCAGACGAGATGAATTCTCAAATGTAAGACAAGACTTGAATCTCGAGATTACATGAGATTTGCCTTCATGGACGCAAATATCTATCCCCGATTTCTTTACTTTTGGAATGTGGGTTCTTCCTTGGCAGTGAGCCAAGCAGCCTTTGATATTCCTTTAAGCCTTGGTTGTGAATTTTCCTATATCAAAATCTCTTATTCTTTACGGGTGGCTCATCTTTGTGAACTTAGTCAATCCCGATCTTTTATCATTGGCTAGTTGTTCATTCTTTAATTCTCGATGGTGATCGTAATCTATCCTCATCAGTCACGTATTATCCCATTATCACTCAAAGTCAACAAAGTCGGTTAATGATTTCCAAAATTGATAAGCAAGCGACCTTGATAGGGTAGGTCATAATTTTAGCTGTGGAACTTAGGGTGTATTTGGTAACTTGTTAAATAACGATTGATTCTATTCTTTTGTTCTCAGGAAAAAAAAGAAATAGAAATTCGATTTGGTAAATTTTTTGTTCCCGGACACAAATTTGTTCCCAGAATCAGTTTTACAACAGCATCAAGAATAAAAAAAAAGTTGATTCTTAATTATGGAAACAAGAATAAAAAATAGAAAAGAAATTTTTTTTTCTTCTTCTTGGCCGGTCTTCTTCATTTTTCCTACCCTGTGGTTAGCCGTCAATGGGCGACCTTCACCCAAGCCGCGAGCCGCCCTCGTCGGCCCTCGCTTGTGGCCGTGACGCCCTTGCGGGCCACGGCTTGTGGTCGGTCACTAGCGTCGGCGACTTAGCCATGGGCCAAGGATGGGGAAGAGGAAAAAAAAGCATAAAAAAAAGAAAGAAATATTAAAAAATTCAAAATATTATTAATAAAAAGAAATTTTGTGTAGTTACCAAACGCATTTCGGCGAGGGCCATCTTGGCCTATGGCCGACGAGGGCCGCGACGCCCTCACTGGCCCTGGCCATGGGCCAAGAAAGGAGAAGAAAAAAAAAGAAAAAAATATTATTAATAAAAAGAAATTTTGTGCAGTTACCAAACGCATTTCTGTTCTTTTTTTTTCAAGAATAGAAATTTTGGTTAGTTACCAAACGCCTTTAAATGCTTATAAATTATTTTCGAGAATGAAATAAAAAAAATTATTTCTGAACAGAAATTATTTTTAAAAACAGAATAATTACTAAACGTATCCTTACAGCCGGATGATCCACTCAACCCTAAATGGTGGCCCCACCACCAATAAATTTTTTTTTTGCTGGTTGCAATTTGTAGAAGCAGAAGTGGTTTCACATGAGGGCAATTTCGTTTCTACGTGTAAAGTCGTGCCCCTGGCGATCGAGAAAATATTCAGTAGTAACATACTGCCACGTAGTTATCCTACGTGGCGTATCTGTTCCATTAAGAAAGTGACACGCGTCACTTGACGTGGAAAAAAAAAAGAAAAATTGGAGGGACGGGCGAAAAGTTGAAATCCCGCTTAAAACACTTTCTCTCTCCTCTTTTCAATTTTGGAGGCCTTCTTTACCTGCTCTCGTGGGGGAGAAGACGCTCTCTCTCTCTCTCTTTCTCCACCGCCTCCGCCTTCGCCTCTCCCAAGAGCCTGGCCGTCGCTCCGAGTTCAGATCTGCGTCTGGCCCGTCGCGGCTGCTGGATCCCGAGCCCCTCCCCCTCCGCCTGCGCCTCCGCCTCCGTTGTCGCCTCCGGAGCCCCATCGGGCGGCTACGATTTACGATTCCTTGGCTGAGTCCTCTCTCTCTCTTTCTCACGCACCAAATTCCTGGCTGTTTCCGACGCGGCGATCGAGCACAAGGTCTATGCTCGCGTCAGTTTGGGGAACCCTAGCGACGTCTACCTACGGCCGCACCATCTCTCTCAGCCTTGGCAACTTCTGGGCCTCCGTTCGATTGCGTCCCCCGAGACACTGCGGAAGACGTCCCTGGTCGAGCTCGGGGCTGGGTCGATGGTGAACCTGGAGCGGGCGGTGCAGCCAACGAGCCGGATGGGCAGGCACTGTGTGCAGGGCCACGTGGACGGGACCGGGGAGATCGTGTCGATGGAGCCAGAGGCCGACTCGCTGTGGGTGAAGGTGAGGGCGGGGAAGGAGCTGCTGGGGTACGTGGTGCCCTAGTGGTTCATTGCCGTCAACGGGACGAGCTTGATGGTGGTGGGCGTGTTCGATGGGGAGGATTGCTTCAATTTCATGCTGGTGGCGTATACGCAGCAGAAGATGGTCATTCCCATGAAGAGAGTTGGGCAGAAGGTGAATTTGGAGGTGGACATATTGGGGAAGTATGTGGAGAGGCTTCTCAGAAGCGGGTTCGTCGATTCGATGAAGACTTCTCGATCGTGAAGGTGATGATCACTCACTCTCTGTAGGTGGTAACTTGATTGTGAAGGTGCATTAATCTAATCTAAAGCTGTTTGGTTCGCTGTTAATGGAATTGTCTCGGTCTGTCATTGAAGCTAGTGATTTCATTTTAAGATCTGTGGCATAAATCATTGCAGATGCCGTGCACCACAGTTTTGTATCGGGCGAGAAAGTCGTTAGTTCTTTCATGCGAGGGCTTGAGTGATAAGATGGGAAAGGGGGTTTGTAACTCCATGCTTGCATAGACTCTGTCAGCTCTTGAAGTGAGAATGCAGTTGTTCGACCGATGATCACCTAGTTTAGTCGCTAGCTGCAAGACCTGGCAGAGGTGTACAAGTGTTGTAGTGACTAACTTGTCTAGAGAAAAACATAACATGAGACATAAGAATTGCATTTTGATATCATGTTGCGCTTGGTGGTGCTTTTTATGGTTTCTGTGTTCACTTTATTTTCTATCCCACTCAATAGTTATGTTCAATTGTGAGTTAGGACTTGTGAATTCGCAGTTAAGGAACAGTATATGTTTTTATTTGGGAACATAAATATCATAAAAATATTTCAATGCTATTGTGAAAAAAAGTTCTTCAACCGAGAATAGCATACTTCTATACAAATTGAAAATTGCCAGTTATATATGGTGTCATGATTTCTGTATTGCCGCCATTTGCATGTTTAAGGGAATAGATATGCTGAAAATTAAGGGGGTAAACTGACTAAACTGTTCTTTTTCCTATTAACATTCTAAAGAAGCAAGGAGGTGTTATTGGAAAAAAATAGTAAGAGGCAATGAAATGCATCTAATTCCTGACCCATCCTCTTTCTCCTCTGCCTGTGTCATTGTTTCCTTGCACTTCACTTCCCTCCATCACAGCAAATGTCAACCGAGATATTTTCTTCATTGTTTGCTCTTTCTAAATTGTCAGTGAAGCTATTTGTGCAGTCATTTTGTGCATCGTGTTTTAGTGGCAGTAATGAAGTCATTGATAGTTTGTGTTAAGTAGAGTGTATGCATTCGTTTATTCAACCTAAAGATTTGAGACCGAGATTAGAAGGTCGATCGCATTTTCTTTGTCGCAAGCAATGAGCATTACCCATCAGTAAGCTTACATTGTCCAATATGTTAAAGTTTTAATTTCTTTTGTTTCTTTTCTCCACGATTAGACTGTTAGTTTTGCAGTAGATGGCTTGTTACAGATGCTGATATTGTGAGTTCATATACTCATGATGGTTTTGCCATTGCTACTTGATAGGTCTTCCTCATTGCGGCAAGAGTTGCTGAGTTGCTGGCTAAGGTGGACGAACAATCTCAGTCCAGACATTAAACGTGGCCCTTTTACTCCTGAGGAGGAGAAGCTTGTCATTAAGCTTCATGGAATAGATCTTTTTGAAGCATTTATGGGGAGATCAGTCTGCTTGATTGAGAAAGTGGAATTAACTTTGAATTGATCTTTATCTTTGTACTTGGTATTGAGAAGGCAATATAGCGTGTGCTTGATATTGAGAAGGCAATATATTGAAGGAAAAAGGCTTTGTCTATATTATACTTGTGAACTGAAATTTGTGTACCTTGCTAAGCTTGGTGATAAACAGCCGATATGTGGCTCCATCTTATTGTAAGAATATCGCGATATTGCAAGGTTGCTTCCATGGAGCACCATCATTTCCTTTTGGCTGTGATGAATTTCTAGTAATCCCCTAGTCAACTTTTAATGGTAAAAACCGAGTTATGAATCTGGGTGATCGGTTTAGCACCCCTACGACCTTCTATTGGCATGCAACAGTAATTCACTGGCAAAAGGTGAGGCGCAATTGCAGGTCTGGACAATTTTCTTGTTCTTGCCCTAACTTGAGAACAAAGACGCATTTCTTGGAAGGAAAGGGGTCCATCTCTTCTCATTTATATGTCTTTATTTGAAGCACCAACGAGTGACGCCGCCCTATTTCACTAAAAAAAATTTAGAAATGTCGATTGTGTTTAGGTACCATAATTCCATGGCTTCTGTCCTAATCTCAGCAAAGTCGAATTTGCTATTGTTCTATCCTTTGCATAAAAAGGTCTCAACCTATTCAATAGATTGCGACTTGCCCGATGCATGTCATTGTATATTGTTGTGGATCCTTAGCAGATTTTTAGAATTTAGTTTTTTACCTATTTCAGTTAGGATTTGTTTTTAAAATTCTTCTTATCATTAGGGATAAATATCTTATTTATTTTTTGTTCCTTGTATTTTGGGATCTTATTGTTTTTCTGTTCCTAGAGATAAGCTTCTACGGCTTATAAATTTGTAAGTAGCGATTCAATCAATAACACAGTTTAGCTAGTCTTTTCTCCTTCAACCAACTCAACATGGTATCAGAGCATGGTTGTTCTGACCTGTAAAGTTGAGAAAAAACCATAGTAAAGACTGCCGTGACAGGGGCAAGCAGAGGAGCAGACTCGGATGGTTCTACGATCATCTCGTCCTCCTCTACAATTGCTCCTACTCCTTCTTTCCTTGATCAATCCCTCTCCTCTCCTCAAATTACCTCACTCAAATTAAATGGAAAAAACTTCCTCTCTTGGTCTCGGCCAGTCCTAATGGTCGTTAAAGGAAGGGGTAAGCTCGGATATCTCTTAGGTACTCTATCAAAACCAGACTCAAAGGATCCTGCTTTCGAGACATGGGATGCCAACAACAACATTGTTATGTCATGGCTAATCAATTCCATGACAGAAAAAATCCAAAGTAGCTGTCTCTACTACTCCTCAGCGGCCGAACTCTGGAACTATCTAAATTTGGCATATTCCGACCTTGATAATTCAACTCAAGTATTTGAACTTCGGAATGCAGCAAGGAATCTACTGCAGGGAGAAGCCGATGTGACAGAATACTACACCTCACTGGTAAAGATCCGGCAAGAATTAGATCTTCATGATGACTGTTCTATGGCCTGTGCTACATGTACCAAGAAATATCAGGATCGAATGGCAAAGGAGAGGGCATACGATTTCTTGGCAGGTCTAAATAGAGATCTTGATGAGGTTCGAGGTCGTCTTCTTGGAATCAAACCATTACCATGTATAGAGGAGATTTTTTCTGAAGTCAGGCGTGAAGAATCAAGGAAGCGAGTGATGTTAGGCAGCAACAAATCTGATATAACAGCCCCAGAATCATCAGCCCTTGTTTCTCATCGTAATGATCACAACAAGGCGATCAAAGAGGAGAACCGAGGTCAAACAAACGCCAAGGAAATCTCGGTGTGATTATTGCCAAAGAACTAATCATACCAGGGACAAATGTTGGAAACTCCATGGCAAGCCTGGAGATTGGAAAAATAATAGACCTCATAACACTAGAGGATACTCGGTTTCTACGGATGTGTCACCGAAGCATGAAGATCATCCGATCCAGCTTCCCCTCAATAAGCAGCAGATAGAGCAATTATATAAATTGCACACTCCCCCGACAACTCCACAAAATCCTCTTGCTGCAAGCACTTCTCTGCTTGCTCAGAAAGGTACTTTTTTAACTGCTCTCTCTGGGGGATCTACTGGTTGTGATCTATGGATAATAGATTCCGGAGCTACTGATCATATGACTGGATCAGAAAATATTTTTTCTACATATCAACCAAGTCCGGGTAACATTAAAGTGAAAATTGCAGATGGTTCCCTTGCCTCTATTGCAGGGTCGGGTACTGTCCATTTGAGCCCGACAATTTGCTTAGTAAATGTTCTCCATGTCCCTAAGTTGACTTGCAATCTCCTTTCCATTAGTAAGCTCTCAAGGGATTTGAATTGTATGGTTTGGTTCTCACCATCTATTTGTGAATTTCAGGACTTGAGTTCGGGGAAGAGGATTGGCAGTGCTAAGGAACACGGTGGACTTTATTATTTTGTTTCAGATTTCTGCATTAATAAAAATGTTTTCAATGTTAGTTGTGAATCTTTTCCAATGACTCGTGAAAAACATCTCATGTTATTACATTTCAGACTTGGACATCCAAGCTTTGGATATATGAAACAATTATTTCCATCATTATTCCTTTCAAGTGATGTTTTTCAATGTGATATATGCCAATTAGCTAAACATAAGCGCTCTTCCTACTCATCTCATGAACATATCCCATCCTCACCATTTTCTTTGATACACAGTGACTTATGGGGACCTTCACGTGTTACAACTAATACGGGAAAAAGGTGGTTCATTACTTTTATAGATGATCATACCCGTCTTACTTGGGTATATCTATTAAAAGACAAGAGTGAAGTTTCTCATATCTTTCAAATATTCCATACCATGGTTAAAACTCAGTTCGGTACTAATATCAAAATCTTTCGTACTGATAATGGTACAGAATACTTCAACTCCACTCTTGGGAAATACTTGGAATCCAACGGCATCATTCACCAAAGTTCTTGTGTCCGTACCCCAAAACAGAATGGTGTTGTTGAACGCAAAAACAGACACTTGTTAGAGGTAGCCCGTTCCCTCATGTTCACAACTAATGTACCTACATATCTTTGGGGGGATTCTATCCTTACAGCTTGTTACCTAATTAACCGGTTACCCTCACGAGTTCACAAGTATGAGACACCAATCAACATTCTTTGCAAAACTTTCCCAGATCACCAAATTGTCTCCTCCTTACCACTGAAAGTTTTCGGCTGCAAATGTTTCATTCATATCACTGATCCTTCTCGTTCAAAGCTTGAACCTCGAGCCATTCCATGCATATTTCTCGGTTACTCCTCCACAAAAAAAGGTTACAAGTGTTTTATTCCCCAACATAAAAAATATATTATCTCTATGGATATTACCTTTTTTGAACAACAACCTTTTTTCAAGAATTCTCTCCAGGGGGAGAAACCAGTAAATATAGAGGAAGACAATTCTTGGGACACAATCACTAAATCCTTTACGCTCACTGAATATGTCCCTACCGTCCCTACATTGCCTACAATGCCCGAATCGCTATCTCAACCTATCACTCTATCCACTATACCATCATCTACCAAAACCAATACTGAAATAGAAACTGTGTCTCGTTCTATCTCTGAGACCGTACCCAACAGTCCTGAAACTGTACCCAATAGCCCACAATTACACACTGAATTACGTGTTTATTCACGTAGAAATTTGAAACAAAATAAGGAGACCATTGTGCAACTCGAAAGCAGTCGATTCTTGGACCCGGATCGGTCTAATAAGGTTAGTGAGCTCGACATTCCCATTGCTGTTAGAAAGGGTGTAAGATCATGTACACAACATCCTATTTCTAATTATGTTTCCTATGGACATCTATCTCCTTCTTTTAGAGCCTTTGTTACAAGGGTTTCAGGCGAAAATCTTCCTAAGGATATTCATAATGCCTTAAAAGAACCACAATGGAAGAAAGCTGTATTTGAGGAGATGAGTGCCCTTGAGAAGAATAATACCTGGGATATTGTTGAAAAACCCAAGGGGAAGACTCCAGTAGGTTGCAAATGGGTTTTTACAGTTAAATACAAATCTGATGGCTCAGTGGAAAGGTACAAAGCAAGATTAGTCGCCAAGGGTTTCACCCAAACATACGGGATTGATTACGGGGAGACTTTTGCACCTGTAGCGAAGCTGAATACTATACGAGTAATTCTCTCTCTTGCAGCAAACCTTGATTGGAAACTACAACAACTTGATGTCAAGAATGCATTCCTAAACGGTGATTTGGAAGAAGAAGTTTATATGGATCTTCCGCCAGGATTTGATGATGCGAAGAAGTATGGAAAGGTTTGCAAATTGAACAAAGCTCTTTATGGGCTGAAACAATCTCCTAGAGCCTGGTTTGGGAGATTCACTAAAGCCGTCTTACAACAAGGATATTGTCAAGCACAGACGGATCACACTCTTTTTTATAGACATAAGGAAGGTAAGAGTACTATCCTTATTGTTTATGTTGACGACATTATCTTAACAGGTAATGACGAAGAGGAAATGTCAAGGTTGAAGGGGAAGTTAGTCTGCTGAATTCGAAATTAAGGACTTGGGATCCTTAAGATATTTTCTTGGAATGGAATTTGCAAGAAATAGAGAAGGTATTTCCGTTACCCAAAGAAAGTATGTATTGGATTTATTGAAAGAAACAGGGATGCTTGGCTCTAAACCTGTTGATACTCCAATGGAACCATTAAGCAAAACCGGGCAGAAAGTCGATGGGACACCTGTAGATAAAGGAAGGTATCAACGTTTGGTAGATAAACTCATTTATCTTTCACATACCAGACCTGATATAGCATTTGCTATAAGTGTGGTAAGTCAGTATATGCATGATCCTACTGAAGAAGATATGGAAGCTGTCTTTAGAATTTTGAAATACTTGAAGGGTACACCTAGAAAGGGGCTGTTTTTCAGAAAAAATGAGAATAGATTAATTGAAGGATATACGGAGATGCCGATTGGGCGGGATCAAGTGGAAGATAGGAGATCAACTTCTGGTTATTGTACTTTTATTTGGGGCAATCTTGTAACCTGGAGGAGTAAGAAGCAAAGTGTTGTGGCTAGAAGCAGTGCAGAGACAGAATTTCGAGCTTTGGCACACGGAGTTTGTGAACTTATTTGGCTGAGTCGTCTTATGAAAGAGTTACAAGTTCAAGGGGAGCTGCCTATGAGGATGTATTGTGATAACAAGGCTGCTATTAGTATTGCTCATAATCCAGTTCATCATGATCGCACTAAACATGTAGAGGTAGATAGACATTTCATCAAAGAAAAGATAGAAGATGGAATTATCAGTTTAACATACGTCCCTACCGGGAATCAAACAGCTGACATTTTGACTAAGGGCCTATCCAGAAAAATGTTTGAAAGTCTACTAGACAAGCTGGGTATGTACAATCTGTACAACTCAGCTTGAGGGGGAGTGTTGCGGATCCTTAGCAGATTTTTAGGATTTAGTTTTTACCTATTTCAATTAGGATTTGTTTTTAAAATTCTTCTTATCATTAGGGATAAATATCTTATTTATTTTTTATTCCTTGTATTTTGGGATCTTATTGTTTTTCTGTTCCTAGAGATAAGCTTCTACAGCTTATAAATTTGTAAGTAGCGATTCAATCAATAACACAGTTTAGCTAGTCTTTTCTCCTTCAACCAACTCAACATATATCTCTTAATTTTTCAAAAGATTTAAATTGAACTGTTTAAAAGGTTGGAGGAAACAGGATACATTTTCACCTCCAAAGAACCATCTTGCTGCGTACCAAACATTTCGTGGGACAATACAGGCTGAGAAAGGGCACTCTCAGAGTTGGGATTTGTCATAATAGGACTCAGCAACTTGCTTCAATCAAGAGAGATTGAAGATGTAACTAAGGACAGGTAGGCATTGCAAGAGCATCAATGGCCGACTACCACATCACTAGACATTTCTAGAACAACAGCAGGCTTAATCTTTGCTCATTCAAAATTGCAAATAATGCCAATAGATGAAACTTGCATATGCCAAAAGTTCCCTGCGTGCAAATATCAATAACTAAATCCTTCAAAATAACATGATTATGCCCCAAAACAATCATAGCAATTAAGGAGAAGCTGGTGCTGCGTCCTTCGTTGGCACAGCTTCAGTGTCTACATCACCATCAGCTACAAAAATCAGCAAATAAGCCAAAAAAATTCCATCACCAAGTGCAAAAAATAACATTATCTCCAAAGACATTCAAATAAGTAAGAGCGAAGCTCGTTACCTTCCCTGAAACCACTCTTGAACCTGCGAGGACATTGTGGAGATACCTCATCCTACCAGTTTCTTTGGTCTTCCTTCGGATTGTCTTCACACTCCAGTTATCTAAAAACAGTGATTAAATACAACTTAATGTGAGAAAAGAAGATTTACACTTTCCATATGCTGTCACAAAAAAGTAAACAATAAGCAACCTCATCACTAGCTCACAACATCTTTGACGCAAAGAGAAAGCAAAAGCCGGGACATAGAGCAAACAGCATAACCTAACAGACATTGAAGAATTTGTACATGACATATTTCTATATTCATAATTTCCCTTTCAGAGAACCATCTTTAGAGCAACAAGATGGACAGTTAAAAATAAGGACTTTTTCATTGCTTGCGACAAAGAAAATGCGATCGACCTTCTAATCTCGGTCTCAAATCTTTAGGTTGAATAAACGAATGCATACACTCTACTTAACACAAACTATCAATGACTTCATTACTGCCACTAAAACACGATGCACAAAATGACTGCACAAATAGCTTCACTGACAATTT